GGCTACTTAGAGTCTTCGGCTCCGCCGTGGGAAAGCAGAACGGAGTCGGGAGTATCCAGGTGGACCGGGCACCCCAGCCAGGCAGCGCGGACCGGCAGGCGCACGGGCACCGCGCCGGGTACCGCACCGCACCGTTCCGCGCGGGGCAGAGCGGAGCCGCAACCCCACGCGCCTCCCAGGACCCACCAGCCACCGCCGCCTCCGCAGCACCCATGGGGACCAGGAGACTTTAAAGGAGTTTGGGGTTTCGGGAGCAGGGAAATCACGGGTACGGAGAGGCGGCTTTCTTTGCCTTGGAAACGGTTTTTCTTCGTCCGACTGTTTGGACCCTGTGCCGGGTAGGAGGGAAAAGGGGTCTTTTGGCTGAAAGTGGACCTCCCTACTCAACCCACGCCCGCACCCGCACCCAGACACCGCACTGGCTTCCCCCATCCTTCCCTTTCCTCTTTGTTAGGTTATTTTAGACAGAAGGGCCTCGCCCTGGCGCAGCCCGACTGGCCCTGCTGGGGAGAAGGCAAGAGAAGTAAGGGGCGGAGCGCACCTGCTTGTGTGGGCAGGTGTGCCCGGGTGCGTGGGTGTGCGTGCCCTGGCGAGCGTGCAAGCGTGGGGTTAGGATTGTGTGCGAATGTGGGAGTCTGAGTGTGCCGTCGCGAAGGTTCGTCATGGTGTATATGTGACATTATCACACCGATATACTCGCCTGTCTGTGCCTGGACTCCCAGGTGAACAAGATTTTGCCGGTGTCGTGAGTGCCTGCGAACGTGCCCGAGTGTCGTTGTCCGAGGCGCTGTCAGGGGAGGAGTACGACCTAGCGCAAAACCGAGAGGGGGGCTGGCGAGGGTGGGGACAGAAATGTGAGCGCAGCTTGCTGAGGCCCGAGGCGCCCCTTCTTCCTCCCAACCTACACCCCTCGGTCCTCTCCCGGGTGTCGGTCTTCTCGCTGCTAACAACCCGCTCTGTCGCCCCCATTGGGACCCCTCGCGCCTTCCCGCTGCCTGCCTTTTCTCTTGTGGGAGTTGTACCGCGTTCCCGGATGGGGTCCGAGGCTGTGTGGTGGCGTCTGCTCTTTTCCCGAAGGACGGGTGGCTTCTGCACCTGTCCTGACGCTGGGGAGGAGCGGGTGACTCCAGTGCCGGCGCGTGGGCGGGCGGACGGGCAGGTCCCAGGGGCACTGCACGTCCCGGGGAGGGGCAGCTGGACTCTGATCGTGTCTCTGCCTCTCGTCTGTGCTCCCGCAGATCCCGGCTCCTGGCCCTCGCCTCGCCGCGTCATTGATGGGCAACCAACTGGACCGCATCACCCACCTCAACTACAGCGAGTTGCCCACAGGGGACCCGTCGGGGATCGAGAAGGACGAGCTACGAGTTGGGGTCGCCTACTTCTTCTCGGATGAGGAGGAGGACCTGGACGAACGCGGCCAGCCCGACAAGTTCGGCGTGAAGGGCCCCCCGGGCTGCACCCCGTGCCCAGAGAGCCCCAGCCGCCACCGCCACCACCTGCTGCACCAGCTGGTCCTCAACGAAACTCAGTTCTCCGCCTTCCGGGGGCAGGAATGCATCTTTTCCAAAGTGAGCGGCGGCCCTCAGGGCGCCGACCTGAGCGTCTACGCTGTCACCGCGCTGCCCGCGCTCTGCGAGCCGGGCGACCTGCTGGAGCTGCTGTGGCTGCAGCCGGCGCCCGAGCCGCCCGCCCCCGCCCCCGCCCCGCACTGGGCCGTCTATGTGGGTGGCGGGCAGATCATCCACCTGCACCAAGGCGAGATCCGCCAGGACAGCCTGTACGAGGCGGGCGCGGCCAACGTGGGCCGGGTGGTGAATAGCTGGTACCGCTACCGCCCGCTGGTGGCCGAGCTGGTGGTGCAGAACGCCTGCGGCCACCTGGGCCTCAAGAGCGAGGAGATCTGCTGGACGAACTCGGAGAGCTTCGCCGCCTGGTGCCGCTTTGGTAAGCGGGAGTTCAAGGCGGGAGGGGAGGTGCCGGCCGGCACGCAGCCCCCGCAGCAGCAGTACTATCTCAAGGTGCACCTGGGCGAGAACAAGGTGCACACGGCCAGGTTTCACAGCCTGGAAGACCTCATCCGCGAGAAGCGCCGCATCGACGCCAGCGGCCGCCTGCGAGTGCTCCAGGAGCTCGCCGACCTCGTGGACGACAAGGAGTAGCCTCGTGGGGGGCCACCTGCGCCTCCTGTCTCCCCGCGCCCCGCTCCCTTCCCAGCACCCGGGCTTCCTGGCCGGCGATCCGCGACCCCCGTCCCCCCTCGAGCGCCCTCCTGCGGCGGCCGGTGCCCAGGCTGCACCCTCGCACCCCTCCGCAAGTGGCCGGAAGTCTCAGGAACTGGCCCCGGGACGAAAGGGCAGCTGTGCGCGCCTGGCTGAGCCCCCCCCCCCAGTGGTGGTGATGGTGTTGGGAAACCCAGCGTGCGCTTTCCCCTCGAGTTGTAACGGGGGAAAGGAGAAAGGGCTGAAGGGAGCAAGCAAGGACGTGGCTTTCCCCACAGGTCGCTAGTCAGTGACTGTCACCCGACCTCCTATAAAGGGACCATCACCGCCCCCAGTGCGCACACACAGACCAGTCGGAGGTGAGAAATGATCCTTCCAGGGCACAGTTCACCTCCCGTATGAACGTGTCCCCAGATTGCAGGATTTCCAAGAAATCGAGCCTGTCCCTTAGGCACTTGTGAATAATTCCACAAGACAGCACTTTGGGACTCCGGGTTATCCCGAGGCTGCCCGGGACTTTTCCAGCTCTCCAGCCCCAAGTCTCCTGACATTGGTATTCCAGTCTCCGGGCAAAGCTGTAATGTTTGCTTCCAGTCCTTTCCGCCGAGGGAAGCGACCGCCACCCCCACCCCATTTGCCTGTGAGTCTCCCTCGCTGGCAGAATGGAAGCCTTCCTGGTCCCGGAGGAAAATGGCTCAGCTGATTTGGTGAGGAGCGCGGGCCCCGCCCCCGGCGAGGAGAAGGTTCACCCGGTGTCTGGGAACTTGAATGTGTGGAGACGGTCGCTTGTTGTTCTTAACCCTCGTTTGCTCCCTGATGGGGCTGCATTTCAGAAAGAGTCCTATTTTTTAAAGGGTTGGAGGAGAGAGAGAGGAGGAAGATGTGGCAACATTCAAGAAACCAGCATTATTACAACACCATAGCCAGTATATTTAGTTTGGCTTTTCCTAACCTAGAAATCTTAGAGGGTGGGGAAGTGGAAATAAAGTTTTAAAAGTGAGAGAGCAGTTTTCCAACTATGTCAACAAAGCCTATCGTGTTGATGTTTTTATTGACCATTTTAGCAACATGCTAATAAAATTTCAAATTGAAATTTTTATTTTCATGGCTTTAATCCATGATAGTTTAAATACTGGGGGCCATTAAGAGTGGATTTAGCTAAGAGCTTAGCTAACATTGCCTTTTCACTCTATTTTTCTCAAATCTTATGAGAATTCTGTTTTTGCATATTGTAGTTAATTTTTGGCTTGAAACGGCAGTCCTCGTAATGGTGAAGGTGTTAATCAATGTGTATGTTGTACTGGATTTCTGTCAGTTAAGGGGTTCACTGCTTGGGTGGAGATTGCTAGCGGGTTCAATGAGGTTTCTTTTCCCCATGTTGTATACCATTACCATTTCACATTTGCATTTCTCTTGTTCTTCCTCTCCCCTTGATGTCCTTAAGAAAGGACTCTAGAATTGGTGGCTTTTTCCCTTCCTCTTTAGCCAATCCCACAATTCATTCCTGAAAACCAGAAAGAACTTGTAGGACCAGGGCAAATGTGTGTGTTTTCCAAAAACTTAAGGCTGTTGGAAACCCCTTCCTTGGCCAAGGATGTACCAACTTCTCTGCCTGTACTGCAGCCCCAGCCTGACTGACTGTTAATTGATTCAGTGTTAGACACCTACAGCATCTACGTCCCTTTCCAGGGGATTTGTCAAATAATGGTGTTTAGCTAATTGTGGCAAGCAATTGCATTTTGACAGCTGTGATTTAGTTGGACGGCAAATATGGCCAAAGCCAGTTTCTTGGCATTTCAAAAATAATGCAATAAAAACTAGTCGAGGTTAGCTGAGACTGGAAATGCCTTTTTTCATGGTGAAATGGTTCATTTCTGTTTTGGTTTTTTTTGTTTGTTTGTTTGTTTTCCACCTTGGATTCATTCCCTGATCTTGAATCAAAAGGTCAGATCAATGAAATATGAACTAGAGTATTTTTCTTAAGCCTATTGAGTGATTTATTTTTTAAAAAATGTTTAAATGCATATGCTTTTCTTTCAGCGCATACAACGGCAAAACTTTTGTAATAACTAACTTACCTTTGCATGTACGGGGAACTAAAAGTCACTTAATTCCCTAACTTACTCCTCTTTCAAATAGCAGATGGCAGATCATAAACCGAAGTTCTTTATTGTGTCTACCTTCTCCACATTCTTTACTGTGTCCTCCCACTGTATCTTGGCTCTCTGCTGTATTAAACACCATCCTGAACACCGGTTCCAGCAGAACTTCTTGACATTTTGTCCTCCACCTGTCACTCAGAGGGTGGAGCTTAAGCAAAAGAAATGCATCGGTCGATCACACCTAATACTAACATTTTATTTCCTCTGATGGCACATAATCTGATTTTTCTCTTACCGAGATGGTCACTATAAGAACAGGGGACTGGCCCAGCACCTTTATACTTTCTGAGACTCGACTGTCAGTAAAAGTAAGAGTTTGGCCGCCAAAGTAGCATTCGTTCCTGTATTGGTCTGTCAAGGACTGGGTTGATGGTAAGACTCGTACAGATTCACAGTAGGAGAACACTCCTTACAGAGGGGACCCCTGGTCCATGTTAATAACAGCCAATGGCAAAATAATCCTAAGCATCGTGCACCATGAAGAGGATATTCTCAAGATATTATCTAATAACTTTCTCCTGAAAAAGTGTATTTTGAGGGCACTGTTAACAGTGTGAGTGAAACCAAATGGGTGGGTGTTCCTTTGAGAGATGCCATGGGCATACTTGATTTTTTTATTTTGAGTGAATAGAGGATCCCCGGATTTTAACAGAATTCTAAAAATTAAAGCCAGAAGCCTCCTAACATTTTGATAGAGGTCAGGAATTTACTTTTGGTTGGAGTTCTCCTCAAGAGAACGGAGCTTCACTGTACTTTTTATGATGCTGAGTGTGGCCAAGCTGGAAGTGGGTTCCACCTATTCTCTGGTAGAGGAAACATACCCTTGTGCCTCTGTTCCTTCTCCACCTTCAGAGGCTGACCCTGAAAAAGCAAACTACTAAAAAAAGAATGAACGTTTGTACTCCGAGGAGTGCTTTGCTACAGATTTTGTTATTAAAAATAAAAGCAAAAACAAAAACAAAAAGCTGGGGAGGAGGAGAGAGGATGGGCATACTTTAAACAAAACCAGGTCTGAAACTGGTTACTCTCCAAGTGTATTCATGAAAAACCAATCCTGTACAAATTACATATATTACATTTATTTTTTTAAAGTTTAAAGTATATCCATGAGCTAAATAGATACATATATATATATATATAAAGTTCCTCAATATTTAAAAATTTAAATCCCAGTCATGACTGTATATTATTAAAAGAAAGACTAAATATGGATTCACTAGCAGATAACACACATTTGCACCAGATTAGAACATCAAACGCGGAAGCAGCTGTAAGACCAATTATGTGACATGATTTTACCACCTTTAAAAAAACATGTTTGATATTTATCTTCCTCTTTGTGTCGTGTTTCATGGTGAACACTTTTGTTTGAGTAATGATTTTTTTTTTCTGAAATGCATGCCATTGGTGTTCACAAAATAATGAATTATCTGAATAATCAGTATATCCTAACAGTCTTCAAACATTACCTTATTGGTTAATTACATGTTTATATGTTCTTTCCTTCCCTAAGAGTTCAGTCTCTTAGTCATCGAATAAATGGAGCAGAGTGGAATTTCAGTGAAATTAATACCAGCGGCACAAACATCATAGAGCAACCTAATTTCCTTTTGTCCATATGCGTACCTTCAAAGCTTTCTGCTTTCTTGCTTTTAAACAGGTGAAGAGAGTCTTGTTAAGTTTGGCTTTCAGACATGACTTGCCACACGGATAATGGGTTTGTAGGTGAAAAGTACAGACTTTCAGGTTTCTAGAAACACGAAGAACTGTGTTTAGAAAATGGTTAACACCCAACTTGACCTTTTTGGTTGACAATTACTAGCTATTGGCAGAATGTGTGTGTGTGTATGTGTGTATATACATATACATACATATATATATATATATATATACACACACACACACACATTTACACACGGACATCTGTGTACACATACACATTTGCATATACACATATACTTACTACACGTTTACATAATGCATGCATTCCATCTGTGTCCGTAGATACATTCCTACCTACAGCTAGTAATCGTGTTTCATTCAGAGATATATACAGACGTGTGCACACACAAAGATTATTTAAGACAAAATGGAGAGTGACTTGAGACCTACAAAAACAGGTGACATTCTCTGGGGTCCTCACAGCTAGTGAACAACTGGACAGCCAGCTGGCCGTCCCTGAAATGGAGCATAAAGAAAAAGAAGAAAATGTGGGAGTCGCACTTAGTTTTGTCTCAATTACAGAAGTACGTGTTCCTTGTTTCTCTAACTCGAAAGACTTAAGATTCAAAGGAAAGCTGCAAAGATAAGAAAGTAATTACAAAATAAGACGCAAGAGCAAGTGGGAAAGCTGGAACATGATAAAAGAAATGAATAAGCTTTGCAACAGGGGACGCCTATTCTCTAACCAAAGGCAGGAAAGCCGAGATCTTATTTTCTGACCATTTAATAATTTATAAAATCCCCTTGATTCCATCACTCACATGTTGTATGTTTACCTCATTTGAACCTACAATAGAAGAAATTTGGGTATTTGAAGATGTTGGGGAAAAGGAAAAATCATCTTCTCTGGCTTTGTGGCTGTGGGTGAGTCGTGATGCTTGCATTTACTGGCAACAAGCACCCAGATGAACCGTCCCCTGTGCTGTGGAGTGTAATCAGTCTCTCTGGCTCACGGCGACTTGTGCTGAGGCACAGAGTAGGTGCTCAGTACATATAAGGCTAAGTGAGGCATGTCTACACCTCAGGTGTTCTCAGTGACACCTGATCACTAGGAAA